TTAATGTAGCAGCACCCAGTGAATCTACAGCAAATAGAAGACCACAAAGCTAGGATTAGGTCACATGTCCTTTTTAAGGAATTTGGTGAGCCTAGCTACAGGAAGTTAACAGAATGAAGGTTGGTAGGGGGGCTTTTATTTTTTGCAAAGCAATGGAGAAGTCTCAAAAGTCATAAACAGTATGATTTCCCAATTTGTTTTGGTAACAAAGAGGTGTCACATACATGTATTAAAAAAATATATTGGATATAAGAAATAATAAAACACCATATACCTTTTTACATTGTATTAAAGAAACCAAGATGAAGTGTAGCTCTGGTTTTGATAGTTGAAAGAAGTTGAGCACACATTCTATATCATGTATAAAATCACATAGGAACTATTCAAGAGCTGACAAAATTACTGGTGACACAAAAATAGAGGAGCTCAGGGTGTTTTGGTTTTATTTATGCAGAAGATGGACAAGCTCGTTCAGACTTCCAAAGCAGGAAAGTTCTGCTAATAGAGTTATTTAATTTAGCATAAAAAGGCATAATGAGATACAAAAGCTTGAAATGAAAGCTAAATATTTTGATTCTACATACAGCATGACATTCTTAATAGTGAGGATAACAAAACACTGGAGCCATATACTTCAGAAATCAAAAAGATAGAATATCTTCTGTAAGGAGAGAAAAACCAAGGTTGAATCCCATTTGAAGCATAAAACCTAGGACTGTGGCATTTATTTATACCAGAATATGCACTGTTCTTAGTAGACAGAAAATTAATGTGTATGAGACTTGCAGAAACTCTATGAGGGAGCTGTAAAACTGTATATTCCAGGAATTGAATACTTCGTTCAGACCTGTGAATCTAGGTGTTAAGGATGATGTTTTCATAATTGTTATCTTTTGACAAAATCCATCCTGTGAGACAGATACAACTGACTAACCTTTTGGTTGGTGTGGTTGAATTCTTTGATCATTCTAGTACTTGACTATTTAGATAAACACATTGGTGCTTTTTTTAACTGATAAATCACTCAATACAGTGGAATAAGTCTTCTGCAAGAAAAAGCTGTCCTATATTCGGGTTACACACTAAATCAATTTTACAGTTGGTTTATATAATGGTGTAACCAGCCCACAAGCATCTGCTCTTAGGGTGCTGCATAGTCCTACTCAAACATGTACCAGTCAGTGTAGATCAGATGACAAGGACTCCTTCAAGCAGCAATGCTACTTCTGCAGCACCCCACAATTCCCAAATGCTTTAAAGAAGTGGCTATAAATGGAGATCGCCCATTTCTATGTGTCCCTTTTAATAAAACAGTGGATGTGAGACCATGGTTTCTGCTTAGTAATTATAACCCCTTACTTTAGCTTTCATTTCTGTGCATAGGTTGTTTTTAGTCATGGAAGAATTTATTTAAGTACTCAAAAAAAGTTAGAGCTGCTTATTTACATAACTTGGTGTCATTTTCTTCTATGGAATAATTTTAATTTTGAAAAAGGTGCCATATGTAATTTAAGAGTTTTTACTTGACAGGGAATATCTGTTAGCTGCATTGGCATGCCTTGATAGGAGGTTCTTTATGATACCATGTCTTCACTTCCTTGTCCTTGCAAAGAGGAATGAATCAGACTGCAGTCCTTGTTATTGCAAAAAGATTTAATCTTATGCTATGGAAGAATCACCTATCTTAATGAAGAAAAATGTTTTACCTCAGCACCTTCTGGTCCTAAGAAGTTAAATATCTGCTGCAAGTAACACTGATCTCACCTTCAGAGTCAGTTCTGAAGCGTCTGCACTTTTGCTTCTCAGTGAACACACAAAGACTTTCAAGTCTTTGGATTCCATTAGTACTGAACTCTGAGAATAAGGAGACACATCGGATTTGTCTGTATCATACAGTAAAAATGAATAACAGAATAAAAATGCTGTGGAGTGCTATGGGAAAGTGTGGTCATAGATCGTGCTATGAAAAGCTTTGGCCATTGAAGCTTCTCCTGTGTATGTAACTATTCACTTGCAGCTTTGATTTCCAGTTAAAAATGTTCATATTTGCAAGTGCTCTGACATAAGGCATCCAAGATACAGTGAGTATGGATATGACATGAGAATATCAGATCTATACTAACCAGTCTTTATAAAAATGACCAAAAGGATTTTGAGAAAAAATCTGAATGAGGTTGTAATATTGGGAAATGGAAATTTTCTTCAACTTGTGGTGGAATGACCCAACACATGAGAGTGTAAATTCTTGGTTAATAATGTGTTGTGTTGTCATGGAAGTCTGCATCTTGGAAGCTAAATCCAAGTACTTAAAATTGGGCATCTTGACAACTGATTTTTTTTTTTTTTTTGCAAGATAGTGATTAAATTTGAAATATCAGGATGTTGAAATACTCTTTGAAAAAGTGTTGCATACAAGTGAATGCAGAGCAAAAAATCCTATTTTTCTCACACAGATCTTAAAGCCAGGATTAAAAGTTGTTTTCAGAAAGTACATTTTTTCTGTTAGAATGTTATTACTGTCACACTTTCACTGCTTGATGCACATAATTCTTGTTCTACTTGTTTCACTCTAGATCCCAACAGACATCCAGACTTAGTTTTCATCTTTTTCCCTTTTATGTATAAATTAGGATAATCTGGCATGTCTGGGAAGGCCCCTGGGGGATCCAACATACTGATAAGAGAGAGAAGATAGTGACTGACTTTTATTCTTGGAACCCAGGGTGTCTACTTAGAGGTATTCAGATGTATTAGTCCCCCCTATTAATATCCTCAGAGATTCTCTATTCTCCCTTATAGCAGAGTCATCATTTAATGAAAAGGTAAAAGTAAAAAGAATAAATTCAGTCCAAAGCCTGAACTGTATCTACTTCTGCTGTATATCCTGATAGAATACACTGTTATGAAAAGATTTGATGTGGTAAGGTTGTACTTCTCTATGCTTGGCAACAAAGCACAGAATTTGCAGAAGATGGGCTAAAGTGCCAAGAACATGTGCCAAGTCATCATACCTCTTCAGCTCCTTCCGCTGGAAGGACCTCACTGCAGCTCTCAGAATGTTTGAAAACCACCATCAGTCAGTGATAATGCTGCTATTTAAGGGTCAGTCCTTACTTCAGGGCAATTGGCCAGACTGAAGCAGACGACACAATTTCTCTCTTATTTTGGTAATTTGTGAAGTATTTCAGAGTGAACACGGATGCATACAAATGTGAATTTTTGTAGAATGTCTTATTTGTTTGGATATGCTGAGTGAAATCATCTACTTTGTTAGCATGTTTCCTAGAAAACGAACTTAGCATGATCCTAATGCTGGGAGGTGAGAAATGCTTAATCAGGGCAATGCCACTGTAATTTTCCTTAAGGACAAGCACTAACTAGTGCCATGTATTTGTACTGAATATTAAACTCAAGTTAAAGGGAAAGCACTTACCTACTGAAACTTCCACTTGGTTTGAAATCCCCAGTGGGTTGGTTGCTTGCTTGGTTGGTTTTGGTGCTTCCTCTCATGTTACAACAGGTAGTTGAGAAGAATAAGGAGTGCCACAGAACAGTCATTTAAAATGGACCATCAGCCATCAACCCTTAAAAAAGTGTCTTAGGCTACAATACATCTTTATTGTCCATTTTAAATAGGTTATTTAAATGATGCAGGTTTTTATTATTTTATCAGTTATGATCGTATTCAGGACTACAGTTTGGGAGCAAGCAGCACATGGAGTTACTCACTCTATTCCTCTACCTTGCTGTTCTATAATGTAGCTATGATGCTCTATATGCAACTTTTCATCTACAGATACCAGTTTTATAAAACACTATCTCCAGCTTACAAATAGGGAAATGAAGGTACAGGGAAGAAAATATACTTTTTTTTCCCTTAAGGTTATCCACTAGACCAGTTAGCAGAACTAAGAGTAGAGCTCATGTCCCTCAAGGTCAGTGGTACCCATTAAACTGCTTGTTTAACAACTGGAAAAGTAATTACTTCATACTTTAAAGTTTTAAACCTCGAAGTTGCTAATTTATGGATTATACTTCTCTGAGGCCAATATTAGAACAGTTTACTGCATGTCTCTTCTCCTGTGAAAGGGGAAGTAAAGAATCTGACATTTACGTGCAGGTAAAATAAGTGGACAGTTGGCTTTTTTGCTCAGGATTTTACAATATGCTAATATGATTATATATTAGAAGTAGATAAGGATTGATGTTGTAAAATCTCTTTTCTGATCATAATCTTAATGGATTTAATATGTATGAAGGTGCTTCACATGTTTCACGCAACATGGTTGTTAATAATGTATTTCATATTTCTCCTTTTGCTTTACTTTTCGATAATATTCTGGAACAGCAGTTTCTTGTTAAATTCTCTGACTCAGAAGGGAAAGGCCATCATCTAAGTTAGGGAGATTGCAACTTAGCCATCTCAAACCATGACAAGCATGCAGAGAAAAAACTGCAGCAGAGTTGTGGAACTCTGCTGGGCACTGCGTTGTTTTGTTGATGAGACAGAGACCAATAGTAACATGTGAGCTTTTATGAAAGTGTGAAATGACTCACTCTAAAAATCATTTTCTTAGATTTAAAAAATAAAACCTGCTGTAGAAGAGTGTTACTGACATAAATCCTAAATTATTAATTCATAATGTCTTGATAAATACAAAAATCTGATACATTCATGTGTTATATGTACCAATAATGTATAAAAATAAACTTAAGATGCATCCTGCTGAATTTTTGTGTTAATTCATGGACTTTATTTCACAGGCAAAAAAAATACAAGCAAGAACAGATCACTCACAGTTGTACGTGTTTCAAACTGATGATGTTGGTACTTTAATTAGAATAGGGGAAAGTCAGCATAAACTCTTTTGTTTTACAGAAAGCAAGAAGAATTGAGGTTAATTAAAGGTTAATTGGAGTTTAATTGGTAGTTCTTTTTTTTCCCTCTTTACTTCTGGTAATAACAGGAATGTTAGAATCCTTGACTTTGATGGCAACAGATTGGGCAGGCCTGGTGTTGATTGCTATTGCCAACATGAAAGTGGTGCTGCAGTTCTGCAGCTCCAGTTCTTAATCAATGAGGTAAGGACATATTTACTCAGATTCTTCTGTATAAATTTAGTTGAATAAGTCAATCAATGTATTGTAATTGAGTGATATAACTTCTCACATTGACAAATTGTGCCAACAAGTAAGTGGCATACATCCAGAGGACGTTCACTGTGCTTTTTAGAAGACTATTTATGAGACTGCATGCAGGGAAAAGTATTGCCTTCATATACATCAGTATAAAGCACTGAACAAAAGGCAGTCAATATATGAATGTGTGCAGGGAGATGTAAAATCAATTAAATTACTAAATATACTGCGCAGTCTTGTTTCAAATAGAAATTAATAAATGACCTAAATCTTTCTCTGGAAATATATTGATGGTTATTGGCTAAAAACACAATACTTGGGGATATGCTATTACTTGAAGCAAGAAAAAGCAATAGCAGAGATCATCAATCAAACCATCATGCTTAGTCTTTGTAAATAGTTTGTTGAAATCAAGTTTAGACAACGTAAAGAAACAGTGACAAATTATAGCTTGCTCTGCAGAAGATTTCTGAAGATGGTAATAGGCAAGGAGACTTTCTGGAACATAAAAATCAGTTTTTTTCTTTAGGACCTTATAACTAGGCCAAATCTAGTCGTAGTTCAGTTTTGATTAATTTTCTCCCATGACATAAGGAAACACTTTTGACAGTTTCAAGTCCTCTCTCTATAGGTGGAGATCTCAGAACTTCTCAGAAGAGTTTTAGTTTTCTGATTTTTTAAACCTGAGAAATATTTATTTTTTTTCTACCTCTGTTTGGAGAAAGTAACTAAACCACATAAACTGAGGAACGAGGACTAAAACTTTAGAAACAATCAATACAATGAAATTCTTTAGAGGAATGCAGGGATGAAATTAGGCAAGGTTTGAATCAGGTTTTCATTAGGTGACCATCAAAATCCCTAATCCATAGAATTAATTTAATTTCTGTGGTGGACATTCTTTCTGACTCTTTGGGAGATGAGAATTAAAGCATGGATTACACTGTATGAGAGAAGGCTCACTTTTGTAAATTTTGTTTGCATAGCTCAGTGTTGAAAAGAACAGTTACTAGGATTAGGAAGGAAATCCAAGATGCAAAAAAGAAGTTTACCAGTCCATCATAGCTGGTATGAACCAAGCTTTTCAGTTACATCCTTGCCCTTCCTCAGCATTGCCTTCTGTTTGAGCAATATCTAGTTCCTTTCTGCAGTAGTAATACACAAGAAGAGATCTTCTGTATAAGACTTGATCTGAGGTGTAAATTTAGTAAGGCTCTTCAGGGGCAGTTCAGAACTTCACACCTCTGCAGTCATTTTCACAGGTCAGCAGAGTACTATGGTGAGGAGAAAGAGAGCCAGAAATTACTCCAAGCTGCCCGGTCAGATAGAGGTGTGGACTTTGGAAGATGTCCATTTTCGGGACAGTCTTCATAGTATTGCTGATCTGTGATAAGGACTTTGTCCTTTTGTCTACATCTCTTAGTTCTTCCTAGGTTCTCTCCCCCCATTACCTGTCCCTACTTTCTCATTTGCACCTTCTTTTCATAATTCCGGTTTTGAATATTCACGTTATTGTAATATGACTACTAAACTGTGCTTGGCACTGTTGCTTGTGTACATGTGTGTGCACTAATCCCTATATCCTTTAGTTACAGCCTTGACACTCACCTTTTTAAATAAGTGTTGTTTGTTCTCCATTTCCTTAATCTCTGTGTTTACATGGAAATGCATGAGAGTTGGCATGTATAACCTTGGTACAAAGGTTTTTGAATTTCAAATTGATGTAGTTTTAATTTAATTTTGGCTGATCTGGTACAAATTTAATATGTTTAGATTTACCAGATTAATTCAAATTTATTATTATTTATGGTAGATTTTTTTTTTCTAGAAGAAAGGAGCCATTTTTCATAAACTGTCGATTTTACAGGTAGATCATTAACAGTGAGGATCAGAATAAGACAGAACCTGCAGAAAAGTAATGTGTTGCTGTATTTTGTGTCTGCTCTAGGGTGCTTTGGTCAGTGCATGTGCAGATGATGCACTTCATTTGTGGAATCTCCGACAGAAACGACCAGCTATCCTACATTCTCTGAAATTTAACAGAGAAAGGTAAGAATGTGTGGCACAAAATAAATATCTCATTAAACAAAGAAAACTTTCTGGATTTCTTACCATTTTGCCTTTCTACAGGTGGATAAAGATGTATCTTGATTTTTTTTCTCTGAGTCTTGTTTCCATAGAACAAAAACTTCACTTTCTGCAGCCTTCTCAGAACAGGAAAAATTGTGTCTGCTTTTTGTCAAAGTGTTCCTCGTTTTACCTTCTGTTTGCATGAACTGCCTTGAACAGTACTGTGGGGGTGTTTTCTTAAGACACAAGCGCTGTGATCCTTTTGGCTTATCTGTTGTTCAGTATTAGACAGAGTACCTCAGCTGGCTGTAGGAGGGTAATAATTATTTTCTTCACCTTGAAAGTGGTTTATTTTTGTAATATATTGGAAGTTTGGCAGAAATAAATTATGAATTTGGGAAACTGTGGTTAAATTTCAAGTGAATCAGAGACTCTTTTCTTAAATTTTACTTTATGAGTACCTAATTGTAGGAATCCCTACTGAAAATAGATTAAATAAGTGGTTGTAATTTTCAAAGTCAAAGAGAAGCTGAGCACTTTAATCTGTATTTAGTAAAACCTGCTATGATGTTACAGAACTTCAATGCTACACTTTTATTAATATTAAAAAAAAGTTCCCTGTTTCTATTAAGGAATTAGGTCAGTAGTCAGAACACCAAGACTCACTGCATAAATGCAGCAGTTGTTTTTGACTGGAGATTTAAGTGATATTGTCATTCTCTTAGCATACACATTCAGTGTTTATTAAGGTGCAGCAACTTTTTTTGATATTTGTATACGTGCTTGTGCAGTGATGAAAGGTACCAGTACTTTTACTAGAGCTGTGAAGTAAACAGAGTCATCAAAGCTTTAGCTGCAGCAAATCTGAAAATCATTATGGCAATACATTTTTCTTTGTTGTTTATTATCCATATACATGTCATGTTTGCACTCAAATGTCACCAAGGGGCATGTTTTGTTGTGGGAAGTACACATAATAATTTAGAAAATATACAGTCTGATTCCAAAGAATTTATAACCTATAGCAAAAGTGCATCAAGTGGTTTGGGGCTGCGTGAGGGAAGATGAAAAAGAAAAATTATGTGTACATTTGCTAGCTGCTTTTGAACAGCAGGTCATCATTTTACGTATGGTGAAATATTTGAATCTTGGTATTCTCATCAGGCAGGTGCATTATGCACAATTTGTCATTGATAAATCTAAATATTGCAGAAGTTATTCCAGTACCTCTTGGTCTAACTCTCCCAGCCACCAATCTGACTTACAACCTAAGGAATCAAGGCTTATAAAAATGCAGTCTCTGTTCATCTCTGTTTGCCTTCTCTTTGAAGAAAGTAACATGGTATCTTGGTCAGTATTTTGTCAGAATTTCTTGATAAAATAAATTCACACACATTTGGGCTTTGTTAAGAACAAAACATTTGTCATCATGTTTCCTAAATTTTCCATTTCCTCTGACATCCTGAAACACTGGGCAAAATGTTTGCAAGCAAGTTATTTGGAATACTGGAAAACTTTGCTTAAAACCAAATTTTATCTAATGATATTTTTGAACTGAGGTTTAAATAGGAACTGAGAATGTACTTATTTGTAACAAATACATGGCTAACTATACTGCCTTCTATCAAAATCTAGTAAGTTGTGAGTAAAAAAAAAAACTATTAGTTCTTTTATACATATTTCAAGTAACTGGTTCAATTACTGCCATTTAAATAATTTTTATTAACACATCAAAGGCTATGAGACAAATATCCTGCTATATTATATTGTCAAAGAAGTAAGTCCAGTTTTAAATTAAAAAAGAGTTTTCATTAAGTACAAAGAAAGAACATTGTAGGCAGTTCATTTCTTCTCAAGATTCTCTAGCACTGCCATAAGCTTCTGGTTGTTTGGGGTTTTTTTCCAAGCACTTCATTTTTATTACATTTTCTTTTTAAACACTTATTGATTAACTTCAAATCATCTAACTTTCAATTTTCTAAGCTCAAGTTACATATTTAATGCGTAAAATTCAACATAAACTTCTGGGAAGTAGAATAAAGTTAGGTTAAAACCCTAATTAACCCTTTCAATTTGGAACACTTCTCATTATATATGCCTAATGGAGTTAAGTCTAAAAGAAAACTTCCCTTTTTTTCTGGATATATTTTTGATGTTAGAGAAAAGAACATATAAATTACATGGTGCTTTGCTATAAGAAATCAATTGCAAATCGGATATAAGGAGAATTTGAGATGCTGATAAAGCAATAAGATAAAAATTTATTTTCTTCAAGAAATTCAAAGGTATGTTTTTCCAAAAAATAATATCTTCTTCACTGTTGGAACAGTTACAAACATTTTATTTTCATCCTTCCCTCTCATCTTGCAGGAGAAGGTTAAGTTGAGGCAAGATTCATATGTAATAGAGACAGATTCTTTCATTTGTCTTAAGTTTGTGACCCAATGAAGGACCTGGTTTTGATGGGGAGAAATGCTTGTTGAGAGAAAATAGGTTTTAAAATACCAATACATGTTTTCAGAAAATAGTATAGTATTGAAAAAGGCCATACAGGGAAGTGTTTAGACAGCCAAAGGCTAGTTCTGACAAGAATGTAATTTATAATGTAATTTAATTCTAGCTTTAGACAGCTTCTACAGAGCCAAACGTGTAATTATTCAGATGCATTTTGGCTATGAAAATGGAACATGTGACTCCTTCAAATTTTTCTATTTGCACACCTCTCTTGAGGGTTTATAAAATTTGTAATTTTATTCATACAGTGTGTTTGTCTCCTTGATGCGCTCTTTGGTTTAGATTTTGAACAAATGGCAGATTTCATGAACTGATGTAATAGAATGCACTTAAAGTTCTAATATTTTATCTGCTTGTGACGATGAAGATAACTTTCATGTACAGTTTATTGTGGGTTTTTACGATATTTGATGCATGAAACGTACAACTGTTGGGTGAATGTTGCTTAAGTCTTTGGCTATTCCTCAGTGCACCAGTCATCATATTGTTTAACTGTTTAATTTGCTTCTGCTTCTTGACATTTAAGATTGCAGGATAATAGACTAAAATCTGCTCTTAGTAGTGTCTCTGCAATTACTTGAGACAAATTTCCCAGAGAGTATACATACAAATATATCCCCCATTTCCCTCCCAGAAAAATAAAAGACATTTGTTCTTTTCTTTGGCTGTTGGTAACAACATAGTTATAAAGAGCAAGGAACTCTTAAATGCAGCACACTAGTTGTCTTTCACTTAGTATGTAGGATTCAATATTAAGGCACTGAATGGTTTATGAATAATAATTCACTGACAAGTTGCACTTTTATAGCCATTAAATCAGAGTTTGCAGCTTCTCCAGATTTATTTTTTTCTTCCTCTGACCTATTGTTAAACTAATGATAATGCAACATTATCAATGTGAATTTGTATCATAATTCACTGTTCCTTTACTAAATATCTCTTTGGAGCAAGTGTGGAAGGAACACTGAGGAAATATAATGGCAGATTTTTTTGTTTTACAGTGTAATGCTCTGGACTTTTTAGCAAATTATATGTTTTTGCCATGTATCAAAATATAAGGTAATCAACTTAAATTCCTATTGCTATATTTGGAGTGTGATACAATGCATTAAGAACCTTCAAGAAGATAAAAATGTAAACTTGGCCTCATACCAAGAGCTGTAATGATAAGACAGTTTCTCAAAGACATGCTTGACTGTAGCATATGGTTGATAATGTATGATTCGCTGTTGCTTTTACAAATACGATGGACAGGTAAAACTTTTTAACCTCTCAAGACACTCTGTAAGAATCTCCTCAGTATCTTTAAAGGTTAACATTATGGACACCTTCCATGCTTTAGTGCCTCCTTTTCCTTCCTTGATGTCATAGGAGACACCAGATTCATCTTCAGTAGGCATTTTAGGCAAGACAAATAACTCGGCTACTGGAATTAGGCACTGTCTCTATCTGCTGCAAAGAACATTTCAGTGATTTTACTTAATCCTAAACTGTTATAGGTCTTAACTATTTTTATTATAATGAGAACAGACTTCAGAAAGTACAGCTTTAAATTCACAACAGTTTACGAATTCCTCTTTAAGATTAGTGCAGCTGGGATAGGAAAACCAGCAAGGATTACAGTGTGAAATCCAGGTCCTTTAGGCCTACAGGCACTAATTTCACTTGTGAACACAGTTCTTCTGTCATTCTGAAGCTGAGCTGGTTCAGTTGTGTCGACTGACATGGGGAATAGCCCCTCCTCTCTTTCTTCTTTTAGCCAGCGCTAAAAGAAGTGTGTAACAAATTAGCCACAACAGCTTATCCACTGACTTAACATACATGGACACAGTATACAAGTTCTGTTGGGTCTTTAAATCCATCTGCATGCCCTCTGCACTGATACCATGACAATACCATAAGTGCCCTTCTGCAGGAGAATCACCAGGAGACACAATCTGTACAACTGGCTTTGAGGTTCTAATCTGTGACATTTCCTTCAGTGTTAAGGGTATGCTGGCACAGAGGAAGAGGAGCCTTTTAAGTGGGTGACTTTTAGAGCAATTATGTTAGCTGTAACTTACTATTGATTAGAAACTTGACTCCTACAGCTGAGACTGTGCAGTATTTGAACAAGGTGATTGAGAGTATTAAGGCTATTTTTTAATATGGTCTATACTCTTTCCTGAGAGTAGCTGTATCTTTGTCTCTTTGTCTTGCTGTATCTTCGCAGGATTTTGTATCCTGTGTTGTTAAGAGCATTTTAAATATTTGGTCTCTCCTTTGCAGATAAACCTCATCAAAATGACAGCAAGAGGCTCTTGAATGATACTGGTGACTGGCTGAGCAGTCTCAGCAGTACCTGTATCTGTTTACTTGTGTGATAGGGACTTGTGAGTTACTTTAAGTAGATTACGTGTCTCACTGGCTGTTCAAGGAACTGAATTCCTGTGATAGCTTGCCTGCTCATAAATGAACCTCCTGGT